GAAAGAAAGAAAGAAAGAAAGAAAGAAAGAAAGAAAGAAAGAAAGAAGAAAGATTTCAGGAGGATCAGCAAGCTAGAAGCAGAGCCAGGTCTGGACTTAGGGTCTATTCCTCTTATGTCTAGCTTCCTTCAGGACCCTGAAATATCCACCCATTGCCCAGGTTCACAAGGAGAGGATTCAACCCACCTCAGACCACGGAAGTCACCGCCGTCCCGGGACTTCCCTGGGCTGGGGTTCCTGGAGCGGGGCATTGCCCCCTGTTAGTAGAAGTCCTTTGAGGCTTGGGTCCGGTGTCTCCAGGGAGAACAAGAAGCTGCCGCGGGCGGCTGGGAATGTTCAGAGGGGCTCAGAACTTCTGGGCTATATATGTCATTGCTTCCCAGAGCTGAACTCACAGGTAGCCAACCAGAGGGCAGGGCTGGCCCACTGCTGCACCTGTCGCTGCCCGCCCAGGCTGCTTCCCGCTCCTCTGGGCTGTGCCAGAGATAGGAAGCTTGGTTCAGCTACCCAGGAGAGAGAGGAGGAGAAACAGTTTCAGTTGACAACTTCCTTATTACACCTGAGTCCCCGAGCCACACGTCTGACCAGTATATGAAACTGAAAGCGAAGCCTGGCAGGAAACACTGTATTGTGGGGGGTGGTATCACCTCCACGGCTTCCCTTGTCATGACTGAGGATCCCTGGAGATGGAAGGAGCTAGAAGATCAGGCCATGGAGGGGATGTGTGCCGTGCATCACTGGACACTGCTCTGACGGTGGAAGCCGTGTGTCCAGACCCCTCTGTGGAGAATGGGGTCACCACGGATTTTTCTGTTTGTTTTTAATATTTCTATTTAATTCTTTAACATACAGATGTACATACATACACTGTATCTTGATCATATTCCTGCCCGAATCTCTCCTTTCACCCTTCCACTCCCCTCTGGACCCCACCAAAGTGTGCCCCTCCCACTGTAATTAGGTGCTGTCTTTGTGTCCAAGGGCAATCAGTCCACTAGCACACCCCCCCACCCCCCGATAAAGTGATCCTCCCACCCTGGCAGCCATCAGTTAATTCAAATAGTTCCTCAGTAGGGATTTGCTACCATTTGGGGTTTTTTGGAGAGAAAGGCTTGCCCAACCATACCTGGCTCTTTCCTGTCATTTTATCTTACCTTAAAAATTAAAAGAAAACAAAGAAAAAAAACAGCTCTGGCCGGGTGGTGGTGGCACACATCTTTAATCCCAGCACTGGAGAGGCAGAGGCAGGCGGATCTCTGTGAGTTCGAGGAGAGCCTGGTCTACAAGAGCTAGTTCCAGGACAGGCTTCAAAGCTATGGAGAAATCCTGTCTTGAAAAACCAAAAAAAAAAAAAAGCCAGCTCTCTAAACTGGAGATTTGGCTCAGTGATTAAAAGCACTGGTTGCTCTTGCAGAGAACTTGGGTTTCATTCCTTCATTCCTAGCACCCATGCCATGACTTACTGGCACCATGCATACACACACGTGCATACACACACACACGTGTATAAACACACACACATATGTAAGCAAAACATTTACATGCATAAATAAATTTTTCAAAATGTGCTCTAGCTTTGGCCGTATTTAATGGTGCACACCTTTACAAGTGTAGCCTGGTCTACAGAGCAAGTTCCAGGACAGCCAGAACTACACAGAGAAACCCTGTCTTGAAAAACCAAAACACAAAAACCAGAAAATGGTTACGATGATAAACTTTCTGGTGTGTATCGTATCACATCCTAAAGAAGCCAATGGAGGGGCAGGACTGGGGTCTTCCTGCAGCTCAGCAACGCTGTCGCAGACACACCTGCTCGTCAGTGCTCACGAGAGGGGGCTGCAGTGGGACCGCACTGCCCCATCAGAGTCCAAGACCAAGTCCTACTCTACATCCCTAGAGACAGAGTTGGGGGTCTGAGGAGCAGGGACAGCCACAGGGTATGTGTAGGTGGCACAATACAAATGAGCACCAGGGACCCCTGTTCAAAAGGCATTAAGACATCACGGTGTGCACACCCTCAATCCCAGCATGCCAGAGGTAGAGGCAGGCACTGGCTGCTCTTCCGGAGGACCCAGGTTCGATTCCCAGCACCCACATGTAGTGGCTCACAACCATCTGTAACCCAGGCTCTGACACTGTATTCTGACCTTCGTGGACATCACATAGGCATGTGGTGTGCAGATACACATGCAGGCAAACACGTATATATACAAATCTAAAAAGCAAAGCCCAACATGCACAAATAAGAACTCAGCTTGCAGCCAAGCAGTGGTGGCACACGCCTTTAATCCCAGCACTCAGGAGGCAGAGGCAGGTGGATCTTTGTGAGTTTGAGGCCAGCCTGGTCTACAAGGGCTAGTTCCAGGACAGGCTCCAAAAGCTACAGAGAGAGAAACCCTGTCTCGAAAAAAAAAAAAAAAAAAAAAAAGAACACAGCTTGCTGACCTGTGTACAGAATAGAACAGGTCAGGTGGTGTACCCCTATAATCTCATATGTAAGAGGTTAATATAAGATCAAGAGTTCAAAACTAACCTGGGCTATAATAGTGAGAACCTGTCTCAAAATCCAACAGCAGGATCAAAAGTGGTGGTACGTGCCTTTAATTTTAGAGGTTCAGGTGTCCATGAGTTCCAGGCCAACCAGGACTTCACAGTGAGATCCGGCTCAGATAGAGCTACACAGTAAGATCCAAGCTAGCCAGGACTACACAGTGAGTTCCAGGCCAGCCAGGGCTACATGGTGAGCCACTGTCTCAAACAAACAAACAGTAATGAGCCCCGCACCCTACAACGGAGAAAAGAAATAGGAAGTGTATATATTGACAACATGACTGACCCAAGATATGGCTAAGCGGAAGGTTTGTAACCGTAGATATGAGGAAGAGAACAGTCAGGGGTATCTGGAAGAATCCAGAGCAGAGACTGGACTTGTCATGAGAGAAGGGGGGGTGGGGGTGTGTGTGAGAGAGAGGGGAAGACAGAGGACCAATAGTGAGGAACAGGAGAGACCATCAAGAGGGGACTGAGAAAGAAAGCTGAAAGGGGGAACCTGGCTGGGGTAGCAGGGTTATAAGGAGGATGGGTAGCCTGGGGGGCGGGGAGCTCCTGAACCAGGGGAGTCTGGAGGAAGGGAGGAGGTAAGAAGAGACACGTGCCGGCATGAACTCTGAAATGTGTAGCAGGTACCTGTGATGCTGAGGGAGCCTGGGGCCCACATGCACTTTGGTTCCCTAATAGGCACCCCAGAAGCCATTTGTCCCTTCTGCCAGGGATAAGGAAAATGGCTCCTTTGGTAGAGGGAACCCGCTTCCCAAGTTCCTGAGGAATGCTGGCTTTTGTCTAACAGCCAGAATTTCACCCTGATCAGAAGGAAGTGGAGAGGAAGAATGGAGAAAGGAAGGGATGAAAGTGGGAAATGGACAGAGGGATGGAGAGGGCAAAGTCCCCAGGACTCTTCCTCTGCTCCCCGCATGACTACAGCACCTTAGGTGGTCCTGGCTGTTTCCAAGCTTGGTATAAACAGGGCATGGGTGCCTGGGTGGTTTCTTTTGGTCCAGCTTTTCTTACTCTGTAAACTATTGCCCTGGCCTCTCATCCTGAAGCCCACCACATGGACGGACACAGATGGGGACCAGTCCCAGCCCGATGCTGATGTTACCGGGAGCAGGAACTATATCACCTTAGAAACCAGGTATCCTTAAATGCCACCAGCGCCCACAAGCAGGGCCTCAAGTGACACCCACAAGAATGTCTCATCAGCACAATTTGTAATAGTCAAAACCTTGCAATTATTGAAATACCCAGTCAGGAAAGTGAATAAACAACAGTGTATTCACAAATAAAGAATTCTTTTCTCCCTGTGGACATGTACCCTCTGTGTGGCATGGCTGTGCAGCCCAAGACACGGGGCACCCAGCAAACGTGGTGCTGAGTGAAATGAAGAGGCTTGTCTCAGGACAGTGCTGAGGAGCAAAGCTAAGAAACTGTCCCCAAATGGTGCTGTGTCTGCGCAGCACGGCTGGCCAAATGTCTGTCCTGTCCCTGCAGAGGGATTTGCATATAGAAATGAGGCTGGGCCCCTCCATGACCTCAGAGCAAAGAGCTACCTGGCAGCAGGCCCTCCTCCCAGGGCCACACCCTTTCCTGAACTTCTCAGACTCAAGGTCTAGCTCTCACTGGGTTCTCTAAGCCCCCTACCTTCAGCAACCAGTGGCCCCCTCATCCTTAGCAAGAGGACCTGAGGACAGTGACCAAGGGGACCTGAAGACATTGACCGTACACTCCTGCCCAGAGGTGTCCTAAGAGTGAATGTTCCTTCCCTGCTGAAGTGCACAGCCTCCCAGTTCCCTGTCAGGTTCCCCTCTCTCTCAGCCTCCCCCTCCCCTTCAGGGGCTTCCAGAATTTCCATCCCTCAGCTGTTTGTGGGTGTCCGGCCTTTGGCAAGCTGGGCAGAGCCACACTGTGACCCAGACATTCACCTCCAGAAGACCCACTGGTTCCCGTAACAAGAGGCATTTGCCAAATGCTCAAGGTGTGTCAGTCAGACCTGTGCCTCCAGTCTGTCCATCCATGACTGTTTGGTTTTGGATTTGGGGTTTTGTTTTATTTTGAGACAGTGTTTCTCTGTGTAACATCCTTGGCTGTCCTGGAACTCACTCTGTAGACCACACTGGTCTCAAGCTCACAGAGCTTCGCCTGCCTCTGCCTTCTGAGTGCTAGGATTAAAGGCGTGCACCACCACCGCCAGGGTTTATTTTTAAATTTTTGAGACTGTGTCTCTCTACGAAGCCCCGGCTGACCTGGAACTTGCTATATAGACAAAGCTGGCTTTGAATTCACAGAGACCCTCCTGTCTCTGTCTCCAATTGCTGGGTTTAAAGGGGTGTGACCCCAGGGGCTGGAGACATGGCTCAGCGGTTAAGATCGCTGATTGCTCTTCCAGAGGACCCAGCACCCACAAGTCAGCTCACAACTGTCCGTCATTCCTGTCCCAGGGAATCCGACACTCTCACACAGACACGCATGCAGGCAAAACACCAAGGCTCATAAAGTACAAGTAAATCAATTGTTAAAAAAAAAATAAAAGAGCTGGCTTTAATCCCAACACTCAGGAGGCAGAGGCAGGTGGATCTCTGTGAGTTCAAGACCAGCCTGGTCTACAAGAGCCAGTTCCAGGACAAGCTCCAAAGCTACAGAGAAACCCTGTCTTGGAAAACCAAATAAATAAAAAAAATAAAAACAAACAAATAAACAAATAAATAAAGGGAGTATGGTCTCATGGATGATCAGAACTGTTAGGGTTTCTGAGGAAGAGTGCCTTGGTGGATCAAATCACACCACACAAGAGAGATTTGCTGTGGGTGGGTGAGGGGGCGGTTATGGAAGTCCATCTCAAGCTGGGACAAGAGAGAGACAGAGAGAGAGACAGGCGGTGACAGTGGGGACTTTATATACATATATATGTGTGTATATATATTATACATATGTATATATGTATACACACACACACACATATAGTGAGTCTGGCATTTAACAACTGAGCCACCCCTCCAGCCCAGTGGGGACTTTTTAAAGGGGATGACTGTTGTGTTTGGTGGCTAGTGATGACACAGCTGTTGGTGTTGAGCGGCTGAAGGCATCCTGGGGGAATACCTGGTTCCCAACAGTGACTGTTCTCTTAACGCTTACACTGTAAAAGGGCATGAAGCGCTCCTTGCTAGAACACACATCAAGAAATCAAGGCTCGAAAACATAAATAAAATGCTCCAATGACATGTACAGGGAGCACACGTCTGTAATCCCAGAGAAGATCAGAATTCAAGGTCAGACTCAGCTATAAGCTCAAGGCTAGCCTGGGCTACATGTGAACTTGTCCCAAATAAATAAGCAAACCATCTGTTCTTCCATCACCAGGCTTCCTAGGTTTGTCTCTGCTCCTCCTCTCTGCACTCTACAGTGGGTGAGATGGCTCGGTGGGTAGAACACTTGGACGCCTCACGCAAGGAAGGAGTGGCATCCTAACTAGCACAGATCCTAAAACCATGCTTACAGAAATGCTGTCAAAAGGAAATTTTGTTGTTTGTTTTGATGTTCAGACAGGGTCTCTACTAGCCCAGGCTTGCCCCGAACGCAGTACACTGCTGAGGATGACTTTGCATTTCTGATCCCCCTGCCTCCACATCTGGAGTGCTGGGATTACAGGTAAGGACACCATGCTCGGTTTAGGGGCTAGGGGTCCTGGAACCCAGGGCTCTGTAGTGGAAAGCACACTCTACCAATTCAGCTGTAGCTTCATCAAGCCCACCCTGCCTCCGCCGAGCTTCCTCTGCTTCAGGGCCTGGGGATCCGGGGAGTCCATTTCCCAAATCCTTTGCAGCTGGAGTTTCAGGTGTGACTCGGGCTCTGGTGGGGTTGGGAGGACGACCCTGTTTTCTAGGGAAGAGAAGAGGCAGGAATAGTTTCCTGCTGGACCGGGCACAGTTAAGAAGAAGCCCTTTATTCTCAGCCACGTGCGAGGACACACGTGCCTGTGGCTCCGCACTGTCTGCGTCACAGCTATGGGGACCCAGTCTGCCTCATTCTGGAACCCTGACTGAAACTGCCTCTAGCTCATCCCACGACTGTGTCAGCCGGACTCTGACTCCTCCCGGTGGGATTAGCTGGAACCCAGCCGACTTCCAGCAACTGCTGCTGGCTGGCCCTGTCCACCAAGGTCACATGTCTCCCCCTGAGATAAGAGAAAGCAAAGCCGCACCGAGGGCAGCTTAGCTGTGACTCAGCTTATTGTGAATTTTCTAATAATATTTTAACCACATGCCTCATCTCTGGAAAGTACACAAAGAATAAACTTGGCTTGCCCGTGCCAAGCCAGCCATGCGGCATCTTACAGAGCAGAAAGGGGGACTCCGCTGGTGGGGTACCTGGCTGACTTGAGGCTCACCTTTTTTTTTTTTTTTTTTTTTTTTGAAACAAGGTCTCTAATAACCCAGTTTGGCCTCAAACTCAAAGTATAGCAGAGGATGACCCTGAATTTCTGATGGTTGAGTCTCAAACAGTCCAAATACTGGGAAAAGAATTCAGTCTGAACTATAGGAGGATTTCTGGTGGTTAGATAAAAGCCAGCATTCCCTGGATACTTGTGAACACTTCTCCCATCTGCAGGAAGTCGCTTCCCTCACCTCTGGCAGAAGGAACATAGGACTCTCCATTGACAGGTACCTGTGGCTGCCTGCCAAAGCTCACGCTGCCTCTAGGCTCCCCAGTCCCTACTCACAAGCACTTGTCACACAGTTCAAAGACTCCTCTCCTAGTGTCCAGCTCCTTCACCCCACCCCAGCTGCTCGCCCCCCTTTGTTCTCTGCCAGTCCTGCCTGTTCCCTCTTACGCTCCTGCTCTGTCTCCCGCTGTCTCGCTGTCTCTATGGCTCCACTCTTCTCTCCCGCTCTTCTCTCGCCCTGGCCAGGTCCACTCGGCTGGCCACGTTCAGCCTACTTTTCTTTCTGCTCTGGGCTCTTCCAGACGCCTCTGGCTGTTCTCTCTCTCATAGCCACAGTGAAACCCTTCATCGTATCATGCTGGCGGTCTCTTCACCCCGCGTCCACCCTGTGAGTGCTGGGATTAGAGGTCAGCACTGTTGCACCTGATGTAATTCGGTGCTCTTGGTGGAACCCAGGGCTTCCTGCAAGCGAGCAAGCATCCAACCAAGTCCCAGCATCTCTTGCGGCTAACGTGGTAGGCTAATTCAGGAGAGTCTCAGCATCCCCTGCGGCTAACGGCTAATGTGGTAGGCTGCAGATGGAGGGAGCAGATGTCCACTTGGGGCATGTGCTGACACAGACGATCACACATACAAAAGAAAAAGGATTAATTAAATGGACTCTTCCGATGTCTATTGAGGTCATTCATCTGTGCTTTGTTTCTCAGTTGTACAATGGTACACAGATACCCATCAACTCTTGCTGTTTTGAGACAGCCTCAAACTGGCAGCAATCCTTCTGCCTCAGCCTCACAAGTGCTGGGATTACAGGTATGAGCCACCACATCCAACTCTTAAACTCTTGATCTTTGGATTAAAACTAAGACTAGACCCTCATGTGAATGCCAGGTCTTTAACCTCAACCAGGAAGAAATTTCAATTATTCCTGGGTGGCCTGACTCCTCCACTCAAACCTGGGCTTCAAGGCATCAATCCCTCTGTCTCATCCCAGGCAAAGGGCACCTCTCTCCTTCTGGGAACTTCTAGTCACGGGACCCATAGGGAGAAATGGCTCAGGAGGGAACCTGAAGGGCGCCAAACAACAACAGGACTATATATACATATAACCTCCCCTCTCCATCCTGTAGGAGAGAAACGCCAACTCCAGCTGACTTACATGAGAAGATGTGTCAGCTGGAATTGCGGGAAATGCCGCAGGGATTGGCTCACAGACTGGAAAAGGAGAGCAGTCCCCTCAACCCTGTACCCCTCTCCCTGCAGAGGATAGCCACCATCAGCTCCTCTAAGAAAAATCCCCCAGAACTGGGGCTAGGGAAGCTCTGGCAGTCCTGGAACTCACTCCGTAGACCAGGCTGGCTTCGGTCTCAGAGATCCGCCTGTCTCTGCCTCCCGAGTGCTGGGATTAAAGGAGTGTGCCACCACCACCCGGCCATGCTGGGGAAACTTAAGGGAACTCGCTCATTGCCACCTTCACAGAGAAGTCTAAAGGGTGGAGCCCAGTATGAAGACAGTTGGGTGGGAAATTGAGAAATATATTTCAGATGGCAGACTACAGGGCAGTTCTCTCCCGGGACTGAAGGAAGAAAGAGTCTGCTTTTGAGCTCCCAGATGGACAGCCAGAAATCTCAGGGAGGCAGAGACACTGTTTGCCGCTGATTGCCAGTTAAACAGGCCCTTCATGTAGGCTGTTGAGAGACTCCACTAAAAAGTGCATTTACAAGGAAGCAGGCGTGGATGTGCAGATGTGGTCAGCGACGTTGCTGTCCTTAGGTTGTCACAACCCCTAGATGGTCCGGACAGGAGAAACTTGGGAAGATTGTGTGGACGGGGCAGTGGGCAGGAGAAACTGAGTCTGTTGTTGTTGTTGTTTGAGACAGGGTTTCTCTGTGTAGCCAGACTGTTCTGGAACTCGCTCTGTAGACCAGGCTGGCCTCAAACTCACAGAGATCCACCTGCCTCTGCCTCCTGAGTTTTGGGATTGAAGGCATGTGCCACACCGCTTGGGTAGGAAACTGGGTCTTAATGAAAGGTATGTGGCCAGCTTGTGGGAGCCGACGAGGGGAACTGGGGACAATAGACACTTTGGCCATTGTCAGAACCTACCAGAAGCCGGAGGCCCTCAAGCCATCCGTCCTCACAGGTTCTCTCCCCACCTGCTGGCTCATGGCAGCCCTAGATGAACTTTACGAGGCTGAGAAAGAAGCAATGTGCCTGACCTTAGCTGGCATGACCCTGAGGAGACAACGTGGAAGCGGGATTCTGGTGTGGGCACGTTGCCCTGTCTGCAGGGTGGAATGGGCAAGCAAGCATGTCTGAGATACCACCCTGCCCAAAAGAAGGCACAGTAGCCCAGGCTAGCCTATAACTTGCCTTATAACTGAGGATGACCTTGAATTTCTGGTCCTTCTGCCTCCACCCCTGGAGTGCTGGGTTGGCAGATTTGTGCTTCAGTGCCCGGTTTGTGTGAACTGAACCCAGGGTCTCCTGAGTGCTAGATGAGAACTCTACCAATTAGGCCACATATTCAGCCCTGTTTCTCTGTTTCACTGGGGACCTTCTGACCCTGGCTCAGGACAGCACCTGCTGTCAAAGTCCTTTCTTTCATTTGTGACTGATAAGACCTGAGTTGGTGAGTCACCATCTGCTGCGAAAACATAGCCCTTACTGCAAGTCACTTTCAACTTCGGCTGGGTAGAATGGCGCCTCCTGAAGGCTGCAAGGGTTCTGGGCGACGACAGATGCTGGACCCTTGGGCTCCTCTCTGGCGGCTCCCTGATGCTCAAAAGGTTTCTGGTGAGTCACACGCCTTGTGCAGCCCCAGTCCTCCACCCAAGGGCTCCGATGAGCAGCCCCATGCCCGGTCCCAGGCTGAGAACCTGAACTTGACCTTACCAGGAGCACATGCCCCGTGACTGAGGGGGAATGGCTTCTTTCTCAGAACTGCTGGGATTTCAAGGGTCACAACAGAGGCAGGGGACTTTCCAGATGCTCCATTTCCCCGGGCTCTGTATTTCCTCAATTGGAGCATCAGTCAGCTAATGGGAAATTCTCCTTGTTCACTCATCTGTTCATCTGCTGTGCAGAGGACAGAGCAAGGCTCTGTGAGTCACACCCCCTGCCCAAGGTTTCCTTTCACACCATCTCTGTATGTAGCCTACCTAGGCTGGCTTCAAATTTGCAATCCCTCTGCCTCAGACTCCCAAATGCTGTTTTTACAGGTCCGGATCTGTAGGACTGATGAAGACACTTTGAGATCTGTGTCTGTGTTTGTGATCTGTGTCTCGACTCAAGATGTCTCACTGAAAAGGATGGGGGAGACATGGCTGTGGAGTAATATGTTTCCGTACCCAATAACAGGTTTCTCCACTGACGAAGCCAAATCAAACCGAACTTAAAAAGACCGGGTTTATTGGGCCAAGCACTCCCGGGTGGCCTTTCCGGTCCCCAGAGATGAGGTGAGGGAAGGGAGTAGAAGAATCACATGACTATCCTAGAGGTGGGAACTTAAATACCCTGTAGGCCAGTTTTGAACAGCTAGGAGCATTGGGGAGGGAGTGTGGACTTTTGACAGTCTTTCTGAGAGGGCAGGGTTTGGAATGGGCCCTAGCTGGAGATTCCAGCCGAACGTGGACAGTGGTTTCCCCCGCCCCCTACCTTTCTGACCACGGCGCACACTCAGTAGGACCACAGTTGACTGCTTGCTATGAAGATGAACAATAGCATCTGTCACTTGTTGGGGAACCACAGGCCAAGCAGAGGGGGACAGTGGCTGCGGGGAGGGGTCCTGGTGGAAACCCACTGCTGCTAAGCTCTGTGCCTCCGAGGGAGGAGGGAGCACCACTCGTTCTAACGCAGCCCCATGGCACTTCCTGCTCAGTGCTCGCGACTGCTCACATAACAGTCCGGACTTGGCTATCTGTTCTTTCTTGGTCGCCTCTATGGCCCACACTTTCTCCTTTTGCTTCTCTTTGCTGCTATTGTTTTTGTTGCCGTTGTTGTTTCGGGGGTCCATATGTAGCCCAGGCTAGCCTGAAACTTTTGATCCTCCTGCCTCAGCCTCCCAGTGCTGGGATCGCAGGTCTATCTTGTCATGCCCACTATGTCCACACTGTTAAGTACAATGCCTTGTATGTTAATAGATGCATAAGAAATGCTCCTTGAATCAGTGAACACATTGTTTCTCTTGAAGTTTCTCTTCAGCTTCCCATGACAGCAGGGCGGAGGGTGCACTCACGTCACAGAGATCAGAAGGCGGGCTTCACCACAGCCAGCAGGAAAGGCCTCAGTTCTCCTGATGCCTGCCGACAGGGGGCAGGGAAGTTTCTGGCATGCAGGTGTCTCTCTCGCCGTATCATCCGAGCTTCCGATCATCCAGAGGTCTCTCCAGGGCCAGTCCTGCAAAGCGTGCCTGGATTGAAGAGCTCTGCTCTGTCCGCAGTAGCGGAGAACCGTGGGATGCCACACCGACACAAACGGGGCTCTGCGCCTCCTGGTGGACACGGCTTTAAACTGCAGGCTTTTCCTTGAAGAGGGGCTTGGGAACTGAATGTCTTGTGTCTCAGACAGTGTCAGTCGTCTACCCCCCCACCCCCCCCCCCCCCGCCCCGCACCTTCCTGCTCCCGTGTCCCCGTCCCCCGGGCATTGGAGTCCTATGACTCTCCTACGGCACCTCCCTAGTGATGCACCCCTTGCACCTCCCAAGCAGAATTCCCAGCACCACCTGGTCATTCCCTGTGTCAGTGAGCCCTGGACCTCTTCCTGGGTCCATGACAAATGCATTGTTTTTCCTACTTTTGTGAGTGCTGTCCAAGCCAGGGGGTGGGCCTACACACCCCAATGTATGAGCAATTAACTTACAAGCTCAGGGAATTTAAAACATAAAGATCATGATTAAAATATTTCTTAAGGCCTGAAGAGATGGCTCAGCTTTTAAGAGCACTCATGGCTCTTACAGTGGACTTGAGTTCAGTTCCCAGCACCCATTGCCTCTAACTCCAGCTCCAGGGGATCCAAAACCTTCTTCAGACTTCATGAGGCATCTGCATAAGTGCACACACATGCATGAATGGACGGGCACACGCGCGCACACACATATACACATGCACATAAATAAATAAATAAACTAAATCTAAAAATATTTTTTAAATGCTAATACTTGATTTCAGGACACACCTTGACTCACCACTGGTGTGAGAAGTCCTTCTGTATATGTGTTGCTTTTATTGGTTAATGAATAAAGAAACTGCTTTGGGCCTATAGCAGGGCAGAGCATAGGTAGGCGGGGAAAACTAAACTGAATGCTGGGAGAAATAAGGCAGAATCAGGGAGAAGCCATGTAGCCCCGCCAGAGACAGATGCCGAACGGGACCTTGCCAGTAAGCCACAACCTCATGGTGATACACAGATTAACAGAAATGGGTTAAATTAAGATGTAAGAGCTAGCCAATAAGAAGCTAGAGCTAATAGGGCAAGCAGTGATTTAAATAATATAGTTTCTGGGTGATTATTTCAGGAGTCTCGGCGGCCAGGTACAAATGAGCGGCCTCCTACAACACACCACCACATCCTACATCTAAATTTGTGTCCCCTCCCCGCTGCCCCCAAGATCTCACCGAGTGACTGAGCAGAGGAGAGGGAACCTGACACCTTACTTAAGAAGCGAGTCCCCTCCCGTCACCACCAGAGGTTTCCTGTGTGTTTCTGCTTGTCTCCAAGCTGGGTGTTGCCAGGTTCCGGCATCTCATTCAAAGCATTGAAATAAGTTCACACGAGATTGCAAGACAGCTAGAAAACTTCACAGTGGCAGTACCAACCAGAAATAACTCTGCCAAGAGTGACAGCGGCCACAGAGGAATGGTACCCAAGAGTGATTGACAGCGGCCACAAGAGGGATGGTACCCAAGAGTGACTGACAGCGGCCACAGAGGGATGGTACCCAAAAGTGACTGACAGCGTCCACAAGAGGGATGGTACCCAAGAGAAAGGACCCTTTGAGGCTGCCTTGTAGGGGAACAAGAGGTAGTTTGTTACTAGAGGAATAGTTTGGGTGCTTCTCTGTTTTGATTGACAGATCATTATGTGACATTTCTCCAATGTTCACGTCTCTCCTCACTGCATGCTGTTTTAATGCACACCCACTGTCTCAGTGAGATTCTCTGTTGCCGCGATGAAACGCCAAGACCAAGGCAACTTGTGGAGGAAAGGGTTTATTCGCCTGCCGTTTCCACCTTGTACTCCCTCACTGGAGGAGGTCGGGACAGGAACTCAAGCAGGGCAGGACTGGAGGCAGGAGCGATGCAGAGGCCGTGGAGGGGCTGCTTCCTGGCTTGCTCAGCCGGCTTTCTTATAGAACCCAGGACCACCAGCCCAGGGATGGCCCCACTCACAAGGGGCTGGGCTCTCCCCAGTTGTAATTGAGAAAATACCTTACAGCTGGATCGTATCGAGGCATTTTCTCAAATGAGGTTCCCTCCTTCCAGATAATTCTAGCTTGTGTCGAGTTGACATCAAACTAGGCAGCACACCCAGGTAAGCAGAGGAATAGAAGGTAAATATGGGATCCCCCCCCCCGACAAAGTTCAGTTCGAGGACACAGTTTGTCATACTGTGCAGCATCCAGACTGGGGCAGCCCCCACCTTCTGTAGCCGCACAAACGGGAGTGGAAGGCAGGAGAAACCCCATGGCTCAGAAAGGGTGTGCATGGGGGGGAGGACCTGGGTTGCTAAGGGGTTGCTAGGTGTGGTGTTGGAGTGGGATGTTCTGGTCGGCTTTCTGCTGCTGTAATAAAAACTATGACCGAAAGTAACTTGGGGGAGGAAAGGGCTTATTTGACTGCCATATTCTAGGCCACCCTGTTGAGGGAAGCCAAGGCAGAAACTGGAGCAAAGGTCATGGAGGAGTGCGGTTTACTGACCTGCACTGTGCTCGACGCTTCTTTTTTTTTTTTTTTTTTTTTTTTAATGAGGCAGATGGTTTCTCTCTGTAGCTTTGGAGCCTGTCCTAGAATTCACTCTGTAGACCAAGCTGGCCTCAAATTCACAGAGATCTGCCTGCTTCTGCCTCTCAAGTGCTGGGATTAAAGGTGTGCGTCACCACCGCCCAGCTCAACCTGCTGTCTGTCTATCTGTCTGTCTGTCTGTCTTTCTTTCTTTCTTTCTTTCTTTTTGAGGTTGGATATTTATTTAGTGGGTTATGGAGGGGGAAGGGGAGAAGGGAGAAGAGCAGAGAGGCAGAAAGAGGGAGAGAGAGAGGGAGAGAGAGAGAGAGAGAGAGAAGCAGAGAGTCGGGGGGAAAAAGAGAGGAGACCCTGTACAGTATCTACCTCTACGGAAAAGCTTTTCTTGTTTTGTTATGGTTTTTTTTTGGTTTGTTTGTTTTTTGGTTTTTTTCAGGACAGGGTTTCTCTGTAACTTTGGAGCCTGTCCTGGAACTAGCTCTTGTAGATCAGGTTGGTCTCAAACTCACAGAGATCTGCCTGCCTCTGCCTCCCGAGTGCTGGGAGCAAAGGCATGAGCCACCACCACCTATCAACCTGCTTTTTTATACAACCTAGGGCCACCTGCACAGGGGTAGTATCACCCACAGTGGACTGGGCCCTCCCCCACCAATCATTAATCCAAAAAGGGCCCCTTCCCCGCAGACTTGCCTATGGACCGATCTGATGGAGGATTTTCTCAACTTCCAAGGTGCCCCAGACTTGGTGACAAAATCTAACCAGCATGTTAGAGGCTGGCAGTGGGGGGGGGGGGGGACACAGTATCTGCAGGCAAAGGTCTCAGGCTGCTGCCTACTGCACTTTTGGAAGAGTTGTGTGCACAGCCCAGGCCAAGAGAGTTCCATGCTGCCCCGCTAGTCCCTAGGCACTCCTCTCTAGGATCTCTGGGAGAACATTTGAATAAAGCCTTGGTTCCCACCTTAACATCACTGGGAAGTTGTGGAACCTTTAAGGGGTGGGGCCTCGTGGGGGCATCAGAGGTCATGGGCAGTGTGCTCTCGGAGGGGACTGCTGGACTCAGTGCCTTTCTCTTCCCCACCATCAGAGGCATGACGGCAACAGCTCTGCCCAACCACAGATCCGAACTCCAAAACAGTGAGCCAGGCAAAGCCGGTCCTCCTGTCCGTTACCTCGGGTCACCCACATGGTTTCGAAAGCTGACGAGCTTGGCCATCACCTCTTGGATTCTCCTTGGCACAGAGTAGGGCCCACCAGCATCAGCATGGCCTCCTCCAAGAAAATCCAAGCCATGGTAGGACCAGCAGGGTGAAGCTGTTACTAGAGGAACTAGAGAGATGGCTCACAGGAAAAACACTTGTCATCAGATCAGGGCTGGAAATCAGATCCGTATGGCCCACGCCAAAGCCCAGTAGGCATGGCTGTCCCCCTGGAACCGAAGAATAAGGGCAGAAGGGATAGAGCCTGCAGTGAGCTGCCTCGTTAGACTAGCTGGACCAGCAACCTCTGCGCTCAAGTGTAAGGTGAAGAGCGGCACCCAGGGCCAGTATCGGGCCTCCACATGCACGGGCATACATGTGAATGTGTACCCATATGCATGATACACCCATACATTCGCAGACACACATACTACATGCGCACACACATGTATACTGCACACATGTACACACTCAAAAATAAATAAGCTGGTTGTGGTGGTGCATGCCTTTAACCTCAGCGCGCGGGAGGCAGACAGGAAGACAGCCACAAGCTTGAGGCCAGCCTGGTCTACACAGTGAATCCTAGGCCAGTCAAGCCTACATATGGAGTCGCTGTCTATAAATAAGCAAATAGCGGGTGGGAGAGGCAGCTTGGCATTTGACTGCTTCCTGCCAGCAGCCACTGTTCCCACTACAATGCCGGTAACTCCAGCTCAGAATCCGGTGCCCTCATCTGGCTTCTGCAGACACCATGTGCGCATCCCCACACAATACAGACACACAGATACGTATATTTTAAAATAAAAATAATAACTCCAAATAAATAAGGTTGCCAATAACTTGGTTGTGTTTGGAAGCATAAGGCCAGGAGAGAAGATTTCTCTTTTCTACCTGGCTGGAAATCGTTGACAAGTTGCAGGAGTTGGTTCTCTCCTGTCTCATGAGTTCTGAGCATTGAGCTCAGGTCGCCGTGCTTGCTGGCAAGCGCCTTTGTTTTCTGAGCCATCTCGCCAGCCACCCCATCACCACCTTTTTTTGACGTAAGTTCTTACTTCATAAGTCAGGCTAGCCTTGGACTGCAATGCTCCCGCCTCAGTTTCCTGAATGCTGGGATTCCAGGCCTGAGGAGCCACAGCCAGCTCTACTGTGAGTTGCTTTTAAGGCATATTTGGAGCACAGGCCAGTGGGCAGCTCCTTTGTGCACATCTCTGAGCATACCTGTGGAGCCAACCCAGGACCACAGAAAGTTCTGTCTTTTCCTGTGTCACGACGTGTGCACAGTGTGTGTGTGCGCACACACACACACACACACACAAATAAATAAATAAAATGTTAAAAACAAAACAAAACAAAAAGAAATTAAAGTTAAAGCATGAAACAGAAACACACAGTGGTCAAGAACATGCCTGGTCGG